AAAAAAAAAAAAAAAAAAAGAAAGGTGTATGCATGACAGGGGAGAAGAAGAGCATGAAAAAGGAAGGGAGTGGAAGGGGGGATTTTTTAAAGCCATTTAGATTTATGGATACTGAAATGAATACATCTGTGGGTCTCAAACAACTATAAAAAACAAGATAGCACACCCAAAGCTTTCTCATATTTTACTACAGAGGTACTTGAGGTGTATTATTAGTTAATACGTAACTTGTAAAGTGCTAATTCATATCCTACATGTACAAAATCATTTTACAAAAATGCTTAAAAAACTAGAAGGGAATGTATTCTCTGCTGGGCTCTTACTGGAAGGTGTATCTGGGAGGGTGGCACCTACTACAGAGTTATGGCAGCAGTAACCAGCACTTCTGCCATCTCTTCACCTGACATTGCCCTCCTCCCACATCTTCATTGCCAAGTTCACAGTATCTTGATTCTTCACCTTTCCTCTCCTCTTCTGTAGTGATCTTCTCACCCAGGACATACCACATGACCATGCAGGATAAATGAGTAACAGAAATATATCTTCGTACCTTTCAATCATGACAAGAATGATTCTGGTTTTCTGGGACATTCAACCATGTTATTTCCTAAGGCATTTTATCCCACAGTGTATCACTTAACAGGTAAACAAATCTTCTACCAGAGTTCTCAAGTAGCCTTCATTATATCCTTTGAGTAGTCCTTTTATATTTAGCTCTTCAAGTATCTACCTTCATGATCAGAACAACTAAGTCTTCGTTACAACTATTTTACATTCTCTATCACCAAGAGTTCTACCAAGAAAATACAAAAAGGGGAAATTCCGCCCAACAATTAGCTGCAACAAGTTCTTAATGGGTGCTACTTTGGGAAAGTCTCTAGGTCAAAATTATTGCAATCAAATATTCAGTTCTTCTGAACATCATCAAAAGATCTTGGGTCATGGACCAGACCAGAAATCCACTGTGACGTTGATATATAAAGGATTGTGTTCCACCGACAATAATTTATAAGAACAACTAGTCAACCCATCTGTTTTCCACACTCTTGACACCTGATGTAAGAGCTTCATCCTGGAAATTAAAAGAACAATGTGAATGATAAAACAAGGATTTAACATACACTTCACACTGCTTTTTAACTTGTGCCAACATTTGGCAAATGCATTCTTGTAAATTATTGTACCACGAGGGTTTCCTACTGCAGCCAAAATTGGTTTTCCCCATCTAAGATCACAGAAACCAATGATAGCCATGTTTATTCCAAGATTTATTGTGTCAGACCTCAATCAAGTCCCAGGGGACTAATGATGAAAAATCATGTATCCCATGAGCTCCCAGTCAAAGGACACACAACCAACACTGATACAATGTGATACACTCCATCCACTGCTAACAACCCCTTGGATAAGCTTTAGGAGATCTCTAACTCACCCAATCTTGTTGGGAAAATTTTGTGTCTTAGTTAGAGAGGGAATATACCTTTCATAAGTGCCTCAAAAAAATTTAAGAAAGTGTGAGGATAAGGGTGGACAAATTGGCACCTATCTGCCTGAGTGAGTCTGGGGAGAAGTCACAGAGAAGGCAAGTATGACTGAGGCTTAACAGAGAAGTGAGTTTGCTAACTAAAGATAAGAAAAAGGACACTCTGGGCAGAGCAAACACCCTGTGCAAGATGTGCAGACTGCAAAAGAACCAAGAACATTTGTGCAAGAATAAATCATTCAGTGTGGCTGGAGGCCCAGGATCTGGGAAGAGTAGCTGGCAGTGAACTGAATAGGTCTCCAGGAGCTTAGCAGTGGAAAACAATGAGTTTCAGTTACATGTTACATGTAATAATGTGGGTGGAGATCAGAATAATGAGCTAAATAAAGTCAGAGAAGAATAAATAGAGTATGAGCTTATTTATATGCAACTGAAAAACATGCAAAACTAAGCAATCTTATGTTTAGCATTGTAAACATATGGGAAAACAAAAAAAAAACAGGGAAATAATTATTACAAAAATTCAAGAAAGTGTTACCTCTGAGGGTGGAGGGAAAGATATGGGATCAGAGAGAGAGAAGGCCATACAGGTAATGTAAGTGGGTGAGGGAGACCACCAGTATTCATAGTATCAAACTTCTCATGTAATTTATAAATATCCTTTTGTATCTATCAAATAATTAATAATTAATTAATAATTATCTATCAAATAAATAATAATTAACAAATTTAGAAAGAAAATGCATACCAATGAACAAAGACTAGAAAATTTTAAAAGCTGATTTCTTAGGGTGATAGATACATGGCTAAATTCTGTGTTGTGCAAAGTCCTCTAACACTTTAAATTTTAGAAGACAACAAAAATCAGATGAAAGAAATGTACATCTTTAATCACAGCCCCGAAAAGAAATAGCTTTTCTGCTAGGACTCCTTGGTGAAATGGCTAATTCATAAGGCAGAAAAAGTACAAAATGAGCCTGGAACATTTTGTCAGACCAGAGCAGCGAGAAGGAAGCTCTCAAGGATGACTGGGGCTATGTCAAAGGGATCCAGGAGTCACCCTAAAGAAGATGACACTAGCCAAAGACGAGGCAATATCAGCATCAAAAAAAAAAAAAAAAAAAAGCGTAAAGAGGGAGAAACCTATAGATTAGATTTAAAAAAGGTCATCCAAACACAATATCCACCTTGTCTAGATCCTGATTCTAACAAACCAACCATAATTTAAAAAAAAAAAAAAAAAAGTATGAGGTATAAATCAGGGAAATCTGAACATTGAATGGATATTTGATACTATGGAAATATTATTAGTTTTATTTTAAGTATAACAATGATTTATAGTGGTGGCCTAGTGCCTAAGGCATTTGACTGCTAACCAGAAGGCTGGCAGTTCAAACCCAACAGCCATTCCTTGGAAAGAAGACTGGGCAATCTACTTCCATAGAGACACTGCCTCAGAAACCTAAGGGAGTCACTAAGAGTCAATTCAACTAGACGGCAGTGAGTTTGATTTGGTTTTCGTTATGTTTTAGAAATACATACTGAAATAATTTCCAAATGAAATGCTAAGATTCTGGGATTTGCACTATATAATCCAGTGGAGGAGAAAGAGATGAAGCTGGGGAAAGAAAACCAGCCAGGAGTTGACTGCTGATGCTGGGTATGAGTTTTTGAAGTTCGGTACACTATTATCTCTACTTGTGCGTGTGTGTTTGAAAATGTCCTTTAAAAAAGGTGTTTAATAAAATGGAGTGGCTTATCTGATCAAATTCAGCAGAGCTAGGTAGGTAGCTTGTCCAGCATGGGAATCTAGGGCTTACCTTTCTATATTTACTTCATTGCCTCTGTCTCTAGTGTGGAAAATCATTGTGTATTTCCCCACTTCGGGAACTGGCCGGAATATTTTCATTCTATGAAGCTCAACCCTAGAAAAATAATAGAAGAGTTTAAAAAAAAAAAAAAATCATTCTAATTATCCACCACTGGGCACTTAAAAAGAATCACTCACAAAAGCTGACACACATAATGGATACACACACACCTTGATCATTTGGGTATTTTGTAAACAAAAAAAGAAGAAAAACTCCTAAAATAATGGATTTTCTCAATGGTGGGACCTCAGACAATAAAACCAGAAAAGAATCACATCTGACACTTACTTCTAGGGGACAAAAGGAACCCTTGTGGTGCAGCAGTCAAAGTGCCTGGCAGCTAACCATAAGGTAGGCAATTCAAACACGCCAGTTGCTGTGCGAGAAAAAGACCCAGTGACCTACTTCCACAAAGATTTCAGTCTTGGAAACCCTATGGGGCAGTTCTACTGTGTCCTGTAGAGTTGCCAGGAATCGGAATTGACTCTTTGGCAATAGCGACTCGGGTATAAGAGATATGTCAATTTTGCAACTATGTCATTTTGCAAAAAAGCTCAGAAAGTACTTATTTTAAAACACCCTGAAGAGCAGGAGAGTCAAGTCTCTTAGGATTCCTAATTTACTTCGTGTTCCCTTCTTCTAACAAAGGAAAAAATTACCATTTAAAAACCACAAATCTGCATTCAAATTTGGACTATCATTTACAACCTGGGTAAATAATTTCCTACTCAAGGTCGGTTCCTCATCTGTAATATGATGACACGCAGTCAGTTTGAAAGGCTCAAATGAGATAGTCCACATGGAACATGCCTTGTAAACTGTAATGCATTACGTAAGTACAGAGAAGGGTGGTGCCTGTTGCACAAGTAATAAATACTCAGTAAGTAAACATCAACCAACTTTTATGTTCAAATCATTTTGGTTTATCCATAGCACTTCTTGAGAAGCATTCTGGAGGCCATGATATTCCTATCAAATGAAAGCAAATCTTACATACGGTACTGTGTTGTCAGTGATGGCAAACATTGATCTACAGGTAAACAGATCAGTAGACAGGCTGAACAACTAGGTATGGCTAAGCAGGGGGCAGTGTACCCATAACCATGTATAGGGTTGGCAGACAATGTTTGTACAAGTGTATTTGTATGTTCTGTAAGAATTTCCAGGTATATAGCAGAGCTGACAAGGGAAAGGCTGTAGTCACTTCTTGGCTGCAGCTAGCTACCCAGAGGGAACAAGTAGTTGAACCTGTGGACTCGGGATCATGGTGGCAGGGGACATCAAGCTCAATTGGCATAACATGCTACACAAAACATTGTGCCACATCCTACTTTGCCAGGTAGTGACTGGGATCTTAAAAGCTTGCAAGCAGCCATCTAGATGCAACGATGGGTCTCTCCTCGTCCAGAGCAAAGAAGAATGAAGAAAATCAAAGACACATGGAAACAATTAGTCCAAGGGACCCATATACCATGCAATCCTTAGCCTACATGACTAATAGACCAGAAAAACTAGATGGTACCTGGCTACCACTTGGAAGGAGAGCTATCTAGGAGATCCTGGATAGAGTGGGAGAACAATGTGGAACAAAAATTCAAAAGCATTAAAAAAAAAAAAAAAAAAAAAGAAAACCAAGGAGCCAGGTTTGCTAATCTGATAGACCCTGATGGAACCCCTGAGACTACGGCCCCTAGCTGCCCTTCAGGTCTGGAACTGAACCCACTCCTGTGGCTTCCAGCCAAACAAAAGACAGGCATATGAGCTAAACATTTATATTAGGTAGATACACTTCTTGGAGAGATCAATCATGGGAGAACAGAAGAGCCGTGTATACACAGGGAGACAGCTTGGAGGGCAGGACTGCATGGGAGGGAAGGACACAGGGAAGAAGTAACTATGGGGAGGAAGTGGAAGGGGAGCTGTTGCACTGTGGGAAACTGTAGTCAGTGTCATGAGACAAAGTGTATGTGAACTGCTGTATGAAAGATGAATTTGCTCTGTAAACTTTTACCTAAACCACAGTAAAATTTTTAAAATTAATTAATTAATTTAAAACCCCAGTGGGCAGGAGAATGAAAGCAAATCTTGGGGCTTTCCCTCTACTTGAAGCTGAGGGGCAGCAGGAAAAAAGACAGTGAAGAGGCATGATCAGTACAATTTTCTACTCATCAACCTGGCTGGGCAGTGAAATGGTTTTGCAAACCAGAAAGGTATTGTTTACCTCTAGCCCTGTCTAATCCCGCCCTGAAAATCAGTCCCATAAGCCATGGCCACAGAGACTACTGATGGGTTGGGCCAAAGATTCCTGCCCATCACTGTGGCCATTCCCATGGTCCCCTTGGTCAGAGCAATCCATTCCCTCCTGGCAAAAACATTCCAGAGACTATCAGCCTAGACGTGGGACAAGAAAATTCCCAACAGTAACACATCTGTTAGTTCAGAGCCCTAACTTAGGTATTTCCTTTCCAAGAGGCAACAGCAGGAAAGAAGGGGCTCCCTAATAGCCACAAACACCCTGTGATTACAAATCTGAAGATGAAAACCCCAGGCTCTTGAGTAATACTTATTTCTGTGGCTGGCCACAGAATTCAAGTTCAGGGAAGGGAGCCCAGGAAGGAGGACAGACTGATTCTTTGAGCCCTCAGAGCAGAAAGAAACCTAAGAGGACCAATGGTCCCAAAGCCCATGTCAGGCCCAGCAGCCAGGCCAGCAGCTGCTCCCACAACATGCAGGGCTGGCTCAGGCATAAGATACAGATAGCTGTGCCTGCTTCAGTGTGTGCAGCTCCTGAGAGGCTGCTGGCAAATCCTGCTCTGGACATTGGATCAGTGCCAGGATCCCCTGGGGCCTGAGGGAAAGCATAAGGCTTACCATAGGTCACTGCAGCTACATTCTCTAAAATGCCACTTTCCAGGCACTCTGCAGTTTTAGGCTTTTAATTCACTGGTGAGACCTTGTCTGTGTAAGCAATACCCACTGACAAGTGCACAGAGGCCTCCATCAACACATCTAGATCCCAAATACACACAAGCCAAGAAAAGGGTACCTTCCATCACTCCTAAGCTGCCACTGGCAAACAGCTGACCTCCCTCCACCTCTTGCCACCCTCTAAGTCTTGCAAATATTCAGCCTTTGTGACCTCCTGAATTGGCATCTACTAGGAACTAGACATAAATGGAAGTTTCCAGAGCCACCGTGATAGCAGAGCCCCGTGAAGGGGACCTTTCTCTGTTGTTCACCTGAGTCTGAGGTCATCGTCTTCGCCTCCCCATCCCCAGTAGTTGTTAGAGAATCCATTCACCTTGAAAAATTGTTCTCTGGTTAGGGCAGTAACACCCCCAAAATATCCTTTGTAACGTAACCTGTAGCAAAAGAGGTGAGAAAAGGTGAGAATGTTAATAGAACCCCTTTAGTTCTTCACAAATACATCAGATTTCACTACCATCATTCCCGGAGCACTCTGAAGACCATGCACTTTTATCTCCTGCTGGACACTGACTTCCCAACGTTCCTGGTCTTGCTTGTCTTGCCTTTTTGTCTCTGTCTAGTTATCTGCTCTCATCTGCTCATTAAGCAAAGTGCTGCCCAGCTGATTTGTTAATGTTTATATGTGGAGGTCTGTAGAGATTGCTATAAATGTGTACCACAACATTAGATCAGGATAACAGATTTCCTGTCATGGGCCAATCCAATCCACTGGCAATGTTTGCCAAAGGCATTGGGTTAAGAAAGATTGTGAGGCTGAGCCAAGTTCAGCATGAATGAGCATCATGATTAATATACTTTTTTCTTTTTTCCTGAGGCATCCCTGGCTGTGCAGTGGTTAAAGTACTTGGCTGCTAACTGAAAGGTCAGTGGTTCTAACACATCAGCCACTACATGGGAGAAAGATGTAGCAGCTTGCTTCCATAAAGATTTACAACCTGAGAAACTCTATGGAGAAGTTGTACTCTGTCCTATAGGCTGCTATAGGACTTGATGGCAGTGGGTTGGGTTGGGTTTTGAATCCACCAAGTGGAGTCCCTGCATTGTACAAATGGTTAATGTGTTCAGCTGCCAACCAGAAGGTTGGAGGTTCAAATATACCCAGAAGTGCCTCGGAAGTTCTACTTCTGAAAACTCAGTCACTGAAAGTAGTACAGTTCTACTCTCACACATAAGGTCTCCATGAGTTGGAATCAACTAGACAGCAACTGGTGGTGGTGGTGGTGGTGCTATACATCAAGTGCAAGACAGCTGGCTAAACATGGGCCCTGCTCTCAAAGAGCTTACAGTCTACTAAAGAATGATCTCAGGGTTCTGAGGAAGGACATGTGGCTACATAAAGAGGAGGCAGGCCTGGGAGGATTCAAATAGGTAGAAAAATGGGGGAGAACCTAGTGGACATCCATGAGGAAAAGCATGGGAATGAGGTTGTTTGAGGAGCTATGGAGACAGTTTAGCCAGAAAAAGTGGAAGAGCAGCAGGAAACAAATAGGGAAGAAAGGTTAAGGAACTTCTTGTTTTGCAAGGAATATTTATTTTTAAAGGGCTATATTGCCCAAGGGAGGAGGAAAATGTAGTTATAAAATAACAGAAGAGTCCTTATAGAAAGCAGTCAGGTACCAAAGGAATTCTTGGCAGCAAAATTTGTCACTGGCTAATCCAAAGCTTTATCATGGACCCAGGGATTATTTCTAACCCAGAAACTCTTTTTTTTTTCCCTGCCTTCATCAGAGTCTGCAACAGTTGGGCATATACTTCAACGTCTTCCCTCTGCATGTGTGAAGTGAAAACATTTCTTGCACTTCTTGTCTACTCAGGGACTATAGTGACAATGAACAAAGCCCGTGTCTAGTTAAACTCTGTGGCTTATGTGCAGTGACCCACCTTTACCAGCAAGGGGCAGATACTTAGCCACCTGCAACTACAGGGATTTTGCTCAAAGCAGCGAAAGTGAAAAGTATGAAGGAAGCCAACTCTTATATTACATATATATATATATATATATATATATATACCTCTCCCTGGTCACAAAAGATGGGGCACACTGCATGATACAATAAAGAAGGAAAATTTAATGATAAACCAGGATCAGAGAAAAACTTAAATGAGAATAGATTAAAATAAAAACTCTATTAGAACTGTGTACTTCCGGTTAGATGGAGGAATAAGCAGATAAGCTACACAGACCCTCTTCAATAAAGAAAAGAGGAAACAATTGACAGAGATACAGAAGATAATCCTGGAGCCCTGACCTTTGAAAGGAAGTATACATAAGTGGATTAGCCACCAACTAGTGGAAAAACCTGAATGAAAAAAGTGAGTATGGAGCAGTTGGAGTAGTGGACTGTCAGCCACTCTGATGGGACCAACAGCCTGCATATTTCTAAGTGGTACTGGGAGCTGAGAATTGACCTAAAGATCAGCCTTGGTCACCAAGGGCTGCAGGGATGACTGTGCTGGTGGCCTTTGACTAGGAAATAAAATAGTAAGAAGGGAGACAACCTGAGCTGTAGACTTTCCCCTGTCCAGAGGATGCAGCCCTTTTGATTGTTTACAAGCGGCAGCCATTTTGAATGTTTACAAGCAGTGGCCACTTTGGATATTTAAACTGACTGAGGGCACAGTCATTTTGAATGTTTACAAGTGGTGGCCATTTTGGATATATAAAGTGACTGAGGGCACAGCTATTTTGAATCTTTACAAGCAGTGGCCATTCTGGATTTTAAAGTGACAGCATCCTCATTTGGATTCCAGGGACCTAAGAATAAGCTCCATTTGCCAAGGACAGCAGGAACATACAGGAGGCTGACAACGGGAAAGGGGAAAGGTGGTAAGTGTATAAATGCTACCAACTACTGAACAGAGGAGCACAGTACCCTGCTTAATAAAATCCAAAGAAAACAAAAATCATGGACAAGTCACTTCAGCATACAATCACCAATTAAATATAAACACAAAAACATCATAATGCCTCAGAGACAACAGAGCATCACAGTACACACAAAGAAGCAAGATAAAGCAGGAGAAACAAGGGACCAGAATACAGACCCAAAACACATCCCTGAGGAAGACACAGCATTGGAACTCCCTGATAAAGAATTCAAAAGAATTATATTTAGGTATCTTCAACAAATTGAGAGACAGCTCAAGGAAAACACTGACAAAATTAAAGAAAACCCTACAAAAATTTCAAAAGACAATACAAGAACAAAATGACAAAATAAATGAAAAATTAGAAATGATATAAAATCTACACATAGAAATCTGGAAGATTAATACTAAATTTTCAGAAATACATAAGACATTGAATAGGCAAAGGCGAAGACTTGAATCAATGGAAGACAGAATTAGTAAGACTGAAGGCAAATATCTCAATACTTCTTTAGAAAGTAATCAATCAGAAAAAAGAAGAAAGCCTAAGGTTCACGTGGAATACCATCACAAGGAAAAACCTATGTGTAATCGGAATTCCAGAACAGGAAGAGACAAATAAAACCACAGAAGAAACTGTCAAAGATTTGGATGGAAGAGAATTGTCCTGGTATGATGAAAGATGAGAAGATATCCATTCAAGAAGTCCAACGAACCCCAAACAGGATAGACTGCAAAAGAACATCACCAAGATGTATCATCATCAAACCAAAACCAAAGACAAAGAAAGAATTCTGAAAGCAGTATGAGAAAAACGAAAAGTTGCCTACAAGGGGCAGCCAATAAAACTAAGCTCAGATTTCTCAGCAGAAATCATGCAGGCAAGAAGACAATGGGATCATACATATAAAACCCTGAAAGAAAAAATATCCAACCAAGAATTATGTACCCAGCAAAACTGTCCTTCAAATATGATGGTGAAATTAGGACATTTCCATATAAGCAGAAATTAAGGGAATTTGTTAAAACCAGACCAACCTTATAAGAGATGCTAAAGGGAGTTCTTTGGACAGAGAAGCAACAACAGCCAACAGCAACTGACCATTAACACACATGATAATATAACCCAGAAACCAAACCAGCTATGGAAGTATCCAAAGTAAATAAGCCTACAAGATCGTAAACAGGGAACCAAAGACATCAATTGACAAATGAGGAGAACTAAAAACCAAAAAGAGGGAAAAAAAATTGCATAGTTATAGAACTTCTAAATAGTAGGGAAGTCAAGACAACTACAAGATAGAACAGACTGTTCTAAACTTGGGAAGAAAACTATAAATCACAGGGTAACCTCAAAGAAAAATGATAAACCTTCACATCAAAATCAAAAAGGGGACCAGCACAAATATTTAGCAAATACTAAAACAACAGAAATGAAGGAAGTGATAACACGATTCATAAACATAACGAGTTCAGCACAGAAAATTATATGGAACAAAGAAATCACATAAAAGCACACAACAAAAATGACAGCAACAAATTCATACTGTTGATAATTACATATCTGGCAAGGGACTTATCTCTAAGATTTATAGAAAACTCCAATGCCTCAACACCAAAGGAATTAACAATCCAGTTGAAAAATGGGCAGAAGACATGAATGGACACTTCACCAAGGAGGATATTCAGGTGGCCTGCAAATATAAGAAGAGATGCTCACGATTACTGGCCATCACAGAGATGCAAATCAAAACAACAATGAGATACCATCTCACCCTAGCACTGATGGCAAGGTTCAACAAGACAGAAAATAACAAATGCTGGCGGAGATGTGGAGAGATTGGGATTCTCATACACGGCTGGTGGGACTGTGAAGTGATACAACCATTGTGGAAAGCAATATGGCAATTTCTTAGAAAGCTGGAATTGGAGATACCATTTAACCCAGCAATCCCATTACTAGGTATTTATTCTAGAGAGATGAGAGCCAGGACAGGGACAGATACACACACACCCATGTTCATCGCAGCACTATTTACAATAGCAAAAAGATGGCAACAACTTGCTATGTGCTCATCAATGGAAGAGTGGACGACCAAACTATGGTACATACACACAATGGAATGCTATGCAGCACTAAAGAATAATGTAGAGTCTGCAAAACACCGCGTAACATGGATGAATTTGGACCACATTATGCTGAGTGAAATAAGTCAATCACAGAAGGACAAATACAGTATTAGTTCATTGTTGTGGAGGGTCAAGGAAAGGTTTATATACGGAGGGAAACTTTCTTTGTTGGTTGCCAGGGGTGGGAGGGGTAGGGAAGGAACACTGGGGAAAAAAAAAAAAGCATTACCCATATCACTTTAGTTTTGTGAATTTCACTGTACATAAATTATATTTCAATAAAATGCATTATATATTAGAACTCTGATCTGCAAATAAGATTCCAGTTTCTAAGAGAGACAATGAATTTGGCTCAGAGCTTTTTATATTCTGATCTAAAGGAGACACATTCAATTGCCTGATTCATATTGTTAAGGAAAGCTGCCAATTACTTAAGAGTGATAAAGCCTACCCTGATATTTAATTATAAAAGAACTGTCTGTAACACAGCACACAAAAACACTGTTCTGCATCCTACTTTGGTGAGTAGTGACTGAGATCTTAAAAGCTTACAAGCAGCCATCTAAGATGCACAAGTGGCCATCTGAGATGCAACTATTGGTCTCTTCTCATTCAAAGCAAAGAAGCGTGAAGAAAATGAAAGGCATATGGAAACAATTAGTCCAAGGGACTAGTGTACCAAGGGAACCTCAGCCACCATGACTCTGAGACCAGTAGAACTAGATGGTGCCCAGCTACCACTGCTGACTACTTGGAAAGGCATCACAATAGGAGATCATGGACAGACTGGGAGAAAAACATGGAACAATACTCAAAATCATAAAAAGAAAAAAAAAAAAAAAACAGGCTTACTGGTGTGACAGAGACTGGTAGATCCCCCAGGACTATGGTCCTTAGACACTCTTTGGGCATGGAATTGAATTCACTCCCATGGCTCAACTCTCAACCAAACAATAGACAAGGCTACTAAGGGAACAATTACACCAGGGAAGTATGCACTCCCTAGAACACTCAACCATGGGAGATCAAAAGGGCAGCATGTGCACAGGGATAAAGCCCAGAAGCAGGAATGCACAGGAAAGAAGGACACAGGGAAAGGGTAACCACAGGGAGAAAGTGGGAAGAGAGCTGTTAAACTGTGAGGATTATAATCAGTGTCATGAAACAAAATATGTATGAACTGTTGAATAGAAAATGAATTTGTCCTGTAAACTTTCACCCAAAGCGCAATAAAAAGTTTTTTTAAAAAAAGAGAGAGAGAGAGAAATGCCTGGCAGCTACAATAGCAAGTTTATAACAGCAAGATTCTTAAATGAGCTGTTTCTGAGTCAATGTCACTCATGAAAGCTGAGATTGTGATACCAAAGTGTACCTCAAAATCAAATCCAGGAAAAAAAAAAGATCAAATCCAGCAGGAATGCCTAAGAACTTGGCTTTCTAATGACACGGTTTAAAATGAGGATAAAATCCAAAGATCCAGAGACCCAGGAAAATGCCCATCCTTAAAACAATCCTTTGTGATTATAATTTCCCATTACCAACATTAGAAAGAATTGGGCAGCATGCAGTTTATGGTTATCTATGGCAAAGATCTGAAGTACAGGTGAAGTACACTGAGGATAGTGATACTGTCTTAACTTTGCACAGTAAGTGAAAAGATGGTCGATTTGAAATGCTTCTGAAATATCTAAGGCACCCTACCCTGCCTATGATACGCTACTTTCTTCAATGTAGAGGCAGACTGAGGAGAACAGAAAAAGTCTCCTAGATGAGGTAAAGATTTAAAAGTCAAGTTCTCAAAAGGGAAAAAAGCTATAGTTCTGCTTGGACTCCTCCCCTGCCCTCTTGAGGCACATGGCATGTCTCTCCTTTGTTTCTCTCCTCCTGCCTTGTTCTGTCCAATACATTAAACACTTGCTAAACTGAGCTTAGGAGCTCTGGTAGCATAGTGCTTAAGGCACTTGACTGCTAACCAGAAGGCTGGCGGTTCAAACCCATCAGTCACTCCTCGGTAGGAAGGTTGGGCAATCTACTTCCGTAGTGATACTGCCTCGGAAACCCAAGGAGGGGTCACTATGAGTCAGGGCCGACTCAATGGCACATAACAACAACAAACTGGGCTTCCTCCTGTCATTCCCCAGCAGGAACTATGTGTCAACAGCTCCCCATTCCCTTCCAAAGTAAATCCAAACTACTTAACAGACTGCATAATCTGGTCCTTGTCTAACCTCATCTCTTCCCTCTCCTACCTCCACAGCTCCATTCATCCTTGAGCACTCATGAACTACTTGCATTTCCCTAGTAACTGTGCCATGTTTGCTCTTGCTTCCATGTCTTGAAACTCTACTGATTAGCTCCCAGAGATTAAGATGCCACCTTCCCTGGGGAATAGCCTTAAATCTTTCCTTAGTTGTTCTTAAAGACACTGTGCTCTCACTCATCAAAGCAATTATGCTAGTTATTTGTTTATGTCTTATAGCTTACATAAGGACAAGTCAGTACATAAAGTAAAAACCACCTACAGTCAATGTTACTCTTGAAAATCTCTTAAGTACTCCAAAGGGAGAGGCCTACACAGTAAGAGCAGCACGGAAAACAAGACTAAGTGATGTGTCAAGAACTTCAGTTTCCATCTTACATTTACTCCAGAGTACAAACCCAGCCTGCTGAAACCCCTGTATTTTAGTTATCTCTCTTTTCAATCTCTCTTCTTCTCATTGCCAAGGGCTTATAGATGAATTTGCAGAAGTTAAATGCAAAAGCTATCTAACTCCACTGTAGCCACCTACCTCCCCACACTACCATTCAATGGGAGCACCTCAAGGGCAGGCACTCGGCCTTATTCAAACTGCTCTTGTGGCCCCTAGCATGGTCAGCACCACAGATGTGAGCACACAGGAAACGCAGAGCTTGGGGGAACCAACAGGTAAGTGTGCGAACATACAGTTTCATCAGTAAACATGTTCTCTGGGTCCCTACTTTCCCTAGTTGTGCTTGAATAAAAACTGGTATAAAATAAACTATGAAAACCAGCTGGGGGGCAGGAAAGAGGGCATAAAGACGGAGATGATAGTACCTAGAATGTTCCAGTGGCTTTGAGAGAAAGGGACTTGTCCTGAGTGTCTTGGCTCCTGACCAGACTACTCAGAAAACAGCCTCTCCTCCCTACTCTTCCCAGAATTCTGGAGATTCCAGCTGAAAGTGCTATCATAGTCTCACAACAGAGGCCTAAAAGTTGACCTAAAGAGCATGATCCTGTTGCCTTGTAGAGAGTGAAGAATGGCCACCATTTGCAATGCTTGAATTATTTTCCTTGTCTTGTTCTTTCCCTTTGGTCTGTGTGATCCTTCTGCCAAGTTTGTTGTGAGGTTTTTTTCCTCACGAGTTTCTCGAATCCCTGTTTTGAACTTTACATGATATATCACAGACCTTTCTTCCCATTCTCAATTTCCTAAGGTACTCAGGACACTACCTTCTGGACAGCCTTGATTACAACAGGGCAAACTTCTTGACCTAAGCATTCCATCATCAGAACCACCTTACCTGTACCCAGTGCTGTTCCTGCCAACCACCAGATGCTTTGGCTGAGTCTCACACTTATAAAGGTTAAAGTCATGCTCTGGTACCAGGTCCACATCGTGGAATATAAAGCAGTCCCAATTTTCTTCCCTGAGAGCTTCTAGGTAGCCCACATTCAGGAGTTTGGCTCGGTTAAACTTTTTACTTCCAGCCTATAGATACAGAAATTAAAAGCTTGAAAACCTCTTGAGATAAAGTGTCATACTTGGGCCTTCTTCCATTCTGACATAGGTGGGTTTTATTCTGGCTTATTCACAAGACTATATTTGTGACAAAGAGATCTGATAGAGTATGCAATAATGATAAAAGACCTTTTTTTTTTCTTTAGGTTTCATACATATTTATATTCTAAAACTGAAAAAAAAAATACCTTTATTTATTCCATGTCAAACTACAAAACATTTTTTTTCCCTTTCTTTTATTGTGGTGAAAACATACACAACAAGATATTCACTAACATAACAACTTCCACATTTACAGCTCAAGGACATTGATGACATTTTTCATGTTGTGACACCATTATTGCTATCCTTTTCCAAAATATTCCACCACTATTAACATAAACTCAATGCCCCACAAACAAAAGCTTCCCCTATCCCCCCCTCCCTCTTATCCCTGGTAAAAACTAATAATCTTTGGTTTCTATACATATTTTATTTATTTACTTCCCAACCTATCTAGGAATTTTCCCTCACCTCCCCTCTCATCCCTGGTAACCAAGTTTCCTTCCATGTATAAACCTTTCCCTGACTTTACAATAGTGGACGAATACAGTATTTGTCCTTCTGTGATTGACTTATTTCACTCAGCATAATGTGCTCCAAGTCCATGCATGTTATGTGGTGTTTTGCCGATTCTACACTATTCTTTAGGGTTGCATAGTATTCCGTTGTGTGCATGTACCACAGTTTATTGGCTGATGAGCACTTAGGCTGTTTCCATCTCTTTGCTATTGTGAATAGTGCTGTGATGAATATGGGTGTGCATATACCTATTCGTGTCCTGCCTCTCACTTCTTTAGGATATATATCTAGTAATGGGATTGCTGGGTCAAATGGTATTTCTAATTCCAGCTTTCTAAGGAATCACCATACTGCTTTCCACAGTGGTTGCATCATTTGACAGTCCCACTAGCAGTATATGAGAGTCCCAATTTCTCCACATCCTCGCCAGCATTTGTTATTTTCTGTTAGTGCTGGGGTGAGATGGTATCTCAATGTTGTTTTGATTTGCATCTCTCTAATAGCTAATGATCGTGAACATTTCTTCATGTGTTTGTTGGCTACCTGAGTATCTTCTTTGGTGACGTGTCTGTTCATACCTTCTGCCCATTTTTAATTAGATTGTTAATCTCTTTGATGTTGAGGTGTTGGAGTTTTCCATAAATTTTAGAAGTAAGTCCTTTGTCTGATATGTCATCACTGAATATTTTTTTCCATTCTGTAGGTTCTCTTTTTACTCTTTTGGAGAAGTATTTTGATTCATGTAAGAATTTTAATTTTTGGAAGGTCACAATTATCTAGTTTATCTTCTGCTGTTTGCAAATCTTGGGTTATGTTTGATAGTCTATTTATGTCATAAATTAGGGCCCCTTAAGTTTGCTCTGGTAGCATAATGCCTAAGGCACTTGACTGCTAACCAGAAGGCTGGCAGTTCAAACCCACCAGCCACTCCTCGGAAGGAAGATGAGGCAATCTAATTCCATAATGATACTGCCTCGGAAACCCAAGGAGGGGTCACTATGAGTTGGATCCGACTCGACGGCACATAACAACAACAAGTTTGCCCCTATTTTTTCTTTGATGAACTTTATAGATAAAACTACAAAATCTTTCTTACATACTCATCACACCAAGTAGTGTCTACTTCACTGTTCAATTATCAGCTAATCCCCATCTTATCCTATGTTATAAATGGCTTTCCAGAAAGGAGCAAGAAAACTTGACCGATTAACAGAGAAGGCTATTGCTAATATTTCTAAGCTACTTAAAAGTTCCTTGGAATCACTATAATAGAATAACAGTGGAGGCTAATCCTCACATTGCACTTAATGGAGGAAGATTAGTCACTGAGTTTTAAAAAAAAAAAAAGCAATTTGACCTATAATATGACTAAAGTTTAGTAAGAAAAAGATGTTTTCATGACTGCTTATATCAAATTCCATAGGAATAAACTCCAGTTCAATAAACAGTTTATTGTAACAAAAATACAGACAAAATTAAAAGCAGAAAGGTAGAAATGGCCACAGGGCCAACAAAAAGCAAGCTTCCGCCAGAAGTTCATTTAAAGGCCAGTAAAATTTAGAGAATTGCTCCCATAACTCCACACCCTGACACATAAACTTTCTTTACTCCTTTCAAGGATAACCAAGATAAGAGTACTCAGTTGATGACAGTTTGGTGTCCCAGGCCCTCAGAGAGAAGACGATCTGGAGGACAGCGTTCTAGTCTGCCCCTCACACTCACCTGGTGGATGACATAGATGCCATAATCCATCTGCTGTCTCTGCAAGAAGGGATGGAGATGCTCTAGCAGGTACATCAGGTGTTTCTCTCTGTTCCGGTGTGGAATGAGGATGGCGACCCGCTGCAAAGCCTTACACTCCTCAGGGTGATACCGGCCCCCTTGTACTTTGGGATTTTCTGCCTGTACTTCTTCCAAAGTGAGATCTGGTTTGAAAATGAGCTTGCTCTGGCCTCCTATGATAAACATTAGAAAAAAAACCAAACTGCCATTGTGTTGGCTCTGACTAATAGCAACCCTACAGGACAGAGTAACTGCCCCATAGGGTTTCCAAGGTTATAAATCTTTATAGAAGCAGACTGCCACACTTTTCTCCCACAGAAGGGCTGGTGGGTTAAAACCACCAACCTTTTAGTTAGCAGCTGAATGTTTTAATCATTGCACCACTAGAGCTCCTTTTACAATAAACATAGAACATAGGTAGTAACAGTACCTATGGTAGTTAAGGTTATATGCCAACTTGGCTGGGCCTGGTGTTGAGTGGCTGGGCAGCTGTATGTAGTTATTCCCCATGGTGAGATCGGTAATAAACTCTATGGTGGAATCTACTGGAGCAGCTGAGTAGCTGCCTTAGGGATGTGGTCTGCTTCTAGTACATAAGGAAAAGTTTTAAGGGTCTCAGTAGCTTTTGGCATGTTTGAATCCTGTGTGCAGCCAAATAGTCATTCAGTAGCCTGCCATGTTATCTGCTGATCTTGGGATTGACTGTTAATGGACTTTGAATCAGTGGTCTCCAATGTGGTTTTATAATTTTGGAACTATGCCATTTACTTGTCGCTTGGGTTTGCCAGCCTCAGCAGTTAACAGCTGCCTGAATGAAGAGATATCCCCAGCTCCAGTGGACCAGGAGCAAGAGGCAGAGCTGAAGCCCAAGGTCAAGGGGCTTTCACCCAACCCCCAGAGCGTGGCACTTTGAACTCAGACTTCTAGTCTCCAAAACTATAACAGAATAAACTCCTGTTTGTTAAAGCCATTCATTGTGGTGTGTCTGTTAGAGTGTTAGAGCAGCACAAGAAGACAGCACCTTTCTCATAAGGTGTTTAGAAGCTTGTATTATTGTTAGCTGCCATACAGTCACTCATGGTGATTGCACATGTGCAGAACAGAACTGCTTCCTAGGGTTTTCAAGGCTGTGACCTTTTGGAAACAGATCACCAGGCCTGTCTTCAGAGGCACTCTGGGTGATGTCTAACTGCCAACCTTTTGGCTAATAGTTGAGAGCTTAACCATTTGTGCCACCCAGGGACTCCTTGAAAGGCTTACATGCGTTAATACACATAAAGTACTTAGAACATTGCCTGGCCACAGTGAATACTATATGAGTGTCAACTCTTATTATTACTACTTTAAAGCTCCATTTAGTCATAAACTACAGCAATAGACTCACATGACCAAAGTAATTGGCTACAAAAGCAAGTAACTCTATATAACACCACTCCCTCATGACTGGGCAACCAACTCTGGCTCTCTCATTCATCTCCACGTAGAAAGTGCAGACTATCTCAGTGACACACAGCAACTCTGAAGAGCAGAGAACAGGGTTAGACTAAGTAACTTTTCAAATTTCCATTTGCTCTATCTTCACTTCCCTCATAAAATTCTAAGTCTCTTAAATATAAAGAGGTGAATTTGGGTGAAGAGAAGGGCAATGTACCAAATGTGAGTGATGAACATGGTAGCACTGAGGAAGAGGTACATGGGAGGTTCAGACAACAAAGATGAACCCTTCTGCACATATAGTACTGCATTGTCAGTGAAGGCAAACAAGTAGATAGATGATGGGTGGACAGGCTGAACTATTAGGTATGTCTACGCAGTGGGGAGTGTACCCAAAACCATGTATAGGGTTGGCAGACAATGTTTCTACAAGTGTATGGCTATGTTCTGTAAGAATTCCCAGGTATATAGTAGAGCTGACAAGGGACAAGGTTGTAGTCATTTCTTGACCACAGCCAGCCACCCAGCAGGAACAAGTAATTGAACCTGTGGGCTTGGGACCATAGTCGCAGGGGACATCAAGCTCATTGACATAACATACTACATAAAACATTGTTCCACCTCCTACTTTGGTGAGTAGCGACTGGGATCTTAAAAGCTTCCAAGCAGCCATCTAGATGCAACGATGGGTTTCTCCTCATCCAGAGCAAAGAAGAATGAAGAAAACCAAAGATTCACGGAAAAAACTAGTCCAGGCAACTGGTACACCATGCGATCTTCAGCCTATACATCCATGAGACCAGAAGAAGTAGATGGTGGCTGGCTACCAATGTCAACCACTCGGAGGGGGATCTATGTAGGAGATCCTGGATAGAGAGGGAGAACAATGTAGAGCAAAACTCAAAATCATTTGGGAAAAAGAAAAGAAAAAGGGACCAGGTTTGCTGGTCTGATAGAGCCTGATGGAGCCACTGAGACTATGGCCCCTAGCTGTCCTTCAGGTCTGGAATTGAACCCACACAAGTGGCTTCCAGCCAAACAAAAGACAGGCATGTGTGTTTACCCAAGGTAGATACACTCCTTGGAGAGAACAATCATGGGAGAAAGAAGGGCTGCTCATGCACAGGGAGACAGCTCAGGGGGCAGGAGTTCATGGAGGGATGGACACAGGGAAGAGGTAACTATGGGGAGGAAGTGGGAGGGGAGCTGTTGCATTGTGGTAAATTGTAGTCAATGTCATGAGACAAAGTGTATGTAAACTGCTGCATGGAAAGTGAATTTGCCCTATAAACTTTCACCCAAACCACAATTCATAAATAAATAAATAAAAATAAAGAGGTGAATGGAAACAAGCTCATGGACAAAGCCCTATTCCCACTCTTTCCCTCAGCTGTTGGGAGCAATCCTAAAGCTCTCAGTAGAGAAAGCAGAGGAAGGAAGAAGAAACCACCCTCCCTGTCTTACTCAGTGGTAACAGGTATGTGCAACCCTGGCAACAATTCCCCATTCTGTCACTGTGGCAGACATTCCCAATCAAGCACAGCATTTGCTCAATGAGTCTGGAAGTTTCTAGACTGGATGGAATTCAATGGCCTTTCTGCCCTAATCAATACTGTGCAAGACTTTAAAGATGAGGCTGAAAACCACCAAACCTCTTCTTCCTATCTGAATTAACAGGGAATGACTAGTAAGAGAGAAGGTAGGGTTCTACTTAGGGAACTGAGTTATGCTTTTCTTTAAAAAAAAAAAAAAAAATTAAAAATAAATAAATATATATATATACACACACATACATACATACACACACACACACTCCATATATGCTAGTCAGTCTGTAAAATCTCCATATGCTTACAGGTTGTGCTATCCTCTTCTAAGCCAAGTGGTTACAGGCCCTTCCTATGTATATGCTACTGTGCCTTGCTCCCTACCCTGGCCATAGCTGCTTAGACCAGGCTCCAGTGGCTGTGAAATGGTTGAAAGACTGCCCAACAACACCAGGTATAACCGCTTCAAACCACCTGGTCAGAGGGGACGAAGTGGCCTCTGAGAGCCTTTCTTAGTGGTCTGTGTGAGGGACATAGAGGGCTGGTAGTCATTAATACCCTAAAAACAGTGAGAAATAGAGTTATGTGAAAGGTAAGTCACTGCAGATGCTGCTGGGAGATGATGTGGGGTGGGACGCTGCTGAGATGGTTTCCCAGCTAACCTTTTAAGAAGCCCCTTCATCCAGCGTAACCTGACTGTGTCTCTGTTCTTGTAATGTGTCTGAAATAAACTAGTCCTTTGCTCACCTCTTGTCTGTCTTATATTTTTATATGCCCTAACGTAAGTTAGGAACCCTGGTGGCACAACACGTAAGTGCTTAGCTGCTAAATGAAAGGTTGGCCATTCAACCCCACCTTCAGTTCTGCAGAGGAAAAGACTGACAATCGCTTTTGTAGCGATTACAGCCTAGGAAGCCCAATGGGGCGCAGTTCTACTCTGCCATGAGGTCACTATGAGTAGGAATCAACTCAATGGCACATAACAACAATCTTCCAGTTCTTGCTTCTGCTTAATCTCTACCAGTCTCCGCTACAGGTCCCACTATATCATTTCGTTCTTCATTGGATCACTAATGGCCCTTCTTAATTCATCACCACTCACGCCACCCCCTAAAACCAAAACCTGAGTATTTGCTCAGTCTTGGGCCGCTGCCTACTTACCCTTTACGAGTGAATTTATTTCTTAAATACAGTGTGAGGATTTTGACCAAGGGAGATAATACAGTCAGATTTGCAATTAATATCTCAATTCAATAATCTATAAGCAGAATAATTTCCCCCTCAACAATTAGGAATAACGTTTTGACTCTTCCATGATTGAAATAGTATGCCAATATGAATAGAGAACGAGACCATGATTCAATGAGGAAAGAGCATCTGCAGTATTTTATTTGGCCAAGGGCATCAAGTCTATGGAGAACCCAAAGCACCTTACAGAGGGCTAATTTAGTATGTGCAGAGACCCACCCCTGCCAGGCCCTGGGGAAGTGCTGCACTTCACAGCACTAGAAAGGGTCACCAGCCCACATCCTACTCACTGTCTCCTGGGGAAGAAAGGCAAATATATAAACAGTACACTGTGATTAGTGCAACAACAGACATATAGGCAGGCCCATAGAGAACACAAGATTCACCAGCTAGGCTAGCTCTTTAATGAACAAGTAAGAGTCCACCAGGCAGACAAGGACTGAGGAAAGGCGCTCTAGAAAGGGAACAACACAGATAAAGATGTAGTACAGTATCTGAAGAACTATAAACACCTCATGTTCTGGAAAACCAAGATGTGTGAGAAATCATGTTAACTTGGGTGAAGGGAAAGGAAATACGCAAGAAGGGGGAGGTCAGCACAAAATGATGAAGGCAAAGGAAGACACTGAGAGGAGCACATGAGTTAAAGGCAACAAAAGTAAATAGTATTACATACACAATCCTGCAATTACAGTAATAAAAGTAATCTACTAGTAGATACACAGACAAGATGAACAGGGGTGGGAAGGTGAATGGGGCTACACCTATGACATATATATAGGTTTGCTAGAGGATATTTCTACATATGTATTTATGTTGTTGTCAGGTGCTATCAAGTTGTCTCCGACTCATAGCAACCTTATGCACAGCAGAACGAAACACCGCCCGGTCCTGAGCCAGCTCCAAGATTCTTGCTACACTTGAGCCCATCGCCCCTGCCACCA